GTATTTTGTCTTCGGTCGGTCTTGGCACTGGACTGCACACTTTCCTTCTGTACCTGGTGAGAATTCTTATACTGGACTGCTGCATATATGCATGTATATGTGTGCCAAACGTTTAATCAACTTTTAGGAGTCTACTAGCATATATGTGACCTCAATGGTTACAAACATGGTCTGAAAAACATCCCATGGGGTCTTTACATACAGTACAGGCTGTATATAACTCTCAGGGGCCGTCTGTAAAAAAGGGAAGTGTATGTGTGATCGATGTTCCACTGAAGTATATTAATAGTGACAGTGAAAGCATGTGCTTCTCTACAGCAGATCTCGTAATCAGAACCTTTCACTAGTTTCCACTGACTCAGACTGGACTGTGAGACCGTGGTCAGTAGTATCCACTTCCACTAGCTGTGGTGAAAGTCACACCCCTCCTTTGTCACCAGAGAACTCTAGTACTTTGTGCTCAGTTTATTTTCCATGGGCGGCATTGTGAAAGAATGGGATGTGAAAGTGCAAATACGCACAATGTTTCACCACCAGACTTTTGTACAAAGATGAGCATTTTTCTCGATTTTTATAATTTTGAATTTGTAAAGGACAAAAACTTTAGAGAAAAAAGCACACAAAATAATAATTACATTTTTAGGGCTTTCATAAGTAATGATAACTTCTTTTTAGGTTTATGCACCTAACACTTAATATAAAGTCAGTATTTTACAGATAATATTTTAATATTATTTAGTAGAATGACTATAAAAGCCAATAATTTAATTTACTGAATAACATAGTCTTGCATAGTCTACAGTTCGAAAGTTTGGAGTTTGTAAAATTAAAAAATAAAAAGCTTTTGAAAGAAGTCTCTTATGCTCATCAATCGTAATAGTTGTTTTATTAGATTTTAAAATAACTGTTTTCTATTTAATATATTTTAAAATGTAATTTATCCCTGTCATGTCAAAGCTGAATTTTCAGCATCATTACTCCAGTCTTCAGTGTCACATGATCCTTCAGAAATCATTCTAATCTGCTGATTTGCTGCCCAAGAAACATTTCATCTTATTATCAATGTTGAAAACAGTTGCGCTGCTTAATATTTTTGTGGAAACTGATACTTTTTTTCAGATTCTTAATTAATGGAAAGTTCAACAGAACAGCGTTTATTTGAAGTACATTTTTTGTAACGTTATAAATTCCTTTACTGTCACCTTTGATCAATTTAATGCATCCTTGATGAATAAAAACGTTCAGTAATTTTTGGTGGGTCTTTAGCATAAAAAAAACCCTGTTTTAAACATTAATATAAGGAAACGCCTAATTTAAGGAAACCAGCCTGTCATTCTCATCATCTGCATCTCATGATTGAGTTTGCGAAAAGTGGCTTGTGTCAGGTTTCAGTGCCTGGGAAATGAACTCAATTGCAGTGAGTAACCAGATAAAAGAGTCGCTGTATCAGGCTCTTTACTGTGACACTGTCATGAGCTCATTCCTCTGAAAGTGACTAAAAAGTGGTCCTGCCTGACTGACATCACCTCCGCCTGTAAAGATCCCAACAGTCTGCAGAGTAACTGAAGATCAATATTTTGACTGGGTTTAGGTTTAACAGGCTTTTTAGTGCAGGTTTTGGATATCTTGTTGCTTTATGGTCATAATAAAGCAACTTTTGAAGTGAGAAAATAAAGGTTTCTGGACCACTTGTTGCATCTGTATAATATTTTCTTCTGGATTAAGTTTGATTTGAATGGATCCGTTCACTAAATGGTACCACCTGAATCATTCTTGCCTCCTCCTGGTGAGCAAGGTTAATCAGATGTTAAAAATGCTAGACATGGTAGATTGTCCAGTCTCCTCTCCCACGGACTGACCGACCGTGGGAATGAATGACATCAATGTCTGTTTTCACTTAGCAAATGAATTGTCATTCAGTAGGTGTTGCGGTTTTCCATCGCACTGCATTTAGGTCACAAGCTTTTTGCCGTTGCATTGAACCCCAAGTGCTTTTGTGGTAGTTTACGTACTTGGTCAACGAACAATTGTTTATTTTACTTGTGGTGTACTAGTCTAAGAAATATATCAAGCTGTGCATGTGACACAGCTCATGGAAAAAAAATTTTCATGCTCACATGAAATATTATTTTAGTCTGTAAACATGTGATTGCATAATTTCCTCCAGGGTCCACACATAGCTTCTGTCACCCTGGCTGCATATGAATGTGGCTCTGTGAATTTCCCCGAGCCGCCCTACCCAGCCCAGATAGTGTGTCCGGAGGAGGAGGTCCTGCAGGAGAGCATCTCACTATGGACCATCATGTCGAAGGTTCGCCTGGAGGCTTGCATGTGGGTGAGTGTTTTCACAGCGCAGTCTTTCCCCATGAAGTACTAAAGCTGCTCACTTAAGGCACTCTCGAAAGTCAGAACTCATGCAAAGTGCAAAAAGCGATCACACTAGATTTTGTGGACATATTTCAGACCCTGCAACAAGTACGATGTCACCACCTCTGTGTGT